CGTTATAGCCAAAAAACCATATAAACAATATGCTGAAAATCGGCATTTGACTGCAAAGTTCGAAGGTCCATTAAAAAAAAAAATCGAACTAACATAAACAAACGCCGCGATACGGGTCTTCTACTTTAGCCTCTATTTTCCCCCTCTTTCTCAGAATCGACCTAACTTTTGCTAACCTGAATTTGTTCCACAATGTAATCATAAAAATTTAGGGATTATGATTTCTGTAATCGAAATCATGGCAAACATGATCACGAATACCGTAATTGTAATTCTAAAAATTTTAAGATTATAATTACAGTAATTGTAATCATGAAAATTATTATTACGAATACTTTAATTGTAATCGTAAAAATATTATGATTACAATTAACGTAATCGTAATCAAGAAAATGTTGGTTGCGATTTTCTGATATTCTGTAGAAGTTTTGTAGATATGTAAATGAGCCGAAGTTTCACCGAAAAGTATGTAAAATTGACGTAAAGTTGAAATAATACAGTTACACAGCGGCCGCTGTGGTGTAGTGGTTAGCAGTGTGCGCTACCATTAGCAGGGCCTGTATTCAAGCCCGGTTCAACCCAACATCAAAAAATAAAAACAAAAAACTTTTTTTTTTAAATAGCGGTCGCTTTTCGGCAAGCAATGGCAAACCTCCAAATGTATTTCGGTCATGAAAAACAGCTTCTCCTAAATATGCAATCTCCTTTCGCGTCTTCGTAAAACCCCCCTCCTCCCCTTTGTGTGACAACCAGGGTTCGGATTTGCCTCATTTTAGCCCTTCGCTTGCTCGTTAGTTTGCTCTGAGCTTGCGCAACTCACGAGCAACAAGCGAGGCTGTTTGCAAATGAGCACTCGTTAAGTACGAGTGCACGCGCTAAGCAGCCAGCGAGCGAGTAAGCGAACGAGGGCAGCGCAAGAGTAGAGCGGCAAGCAAACGAGGGCCTCATTAGCTCTGCCCTCGCGAGCAGTGTTGCCAACTTTTCAGTTTCAAAAAGCACCAAATCTTGGAAAAAAGCGTTTTACCGCACTAAAAGCACTAAATACTTTTTTTAAATCAAAGGATACTCTTTTTCATACCAGTTTGTGGTAAACAAAAGTAAAAAAAAATATACAATATTTACATGTATAATATAATATGCTTCTCAGTTTCTTCAATAAATTTCATTTGAAAAGAAAACAATCATAATACAAAACTTGCGTTTTCCAGCTTAATATTAATTTACTTCTCATTTCTTATGTACCAATTTTTTCAGTGTTGGTTTTGAAGAAACATTGAAAAGAAATTATAAAAATATGGAAAAAAATATAATTTTGAAATGTTAGTTATGAAAAGTTTTAAGTAAAAAAATTAGATAAATTAAATTAATGATTTAGCCAGTCGCCGTTTACCAGGCGGCTGTTTTTTTTAATTTTAATTGTCGCACAGGTCTCTAGCAATAATTTGGCTTTAACAAATTGAAAAAATATCAATTAGTCGACGAGTTATAGCCAAAAAACCATTTATACAATATGCTGAAAATCGGCATTTGACTGCAACGTTATAGCCAAAAAACCATATAAACAATATGCTGAAAATCGGCATTTGACTGCAAAGTTCGAAGGTCGATTAAAAAAAAATTCGAACTAACATAAACAAACGCCGCGATACGGGTCTTCTAATTTAGCCTCTATTTTCCCCCTCTTTCTCAGAATCGACCTAACTTTTGCTAACCTGAATTTGTTCCACAATGTAATCATAAAAATTTAGGGATTATGATTTCTGTAATCGAAATCATGGCAAACATGATCACGAATACCGTAATTGTAATTCTAAAAATTTTAAGATTATAATTACAGTAATTGTAATCATGAAAATTATTATTACGAATACTTTAATTGTAATCGTAAAAATATTATGATTACAATTAACGTAATCGTAATCAAGAAAATGTTGGTTGCGATTTTCTGATATTCTGTAGAAGTTTTGTAGATATGTAAATGAGCCGAAGTTTCACCGAAAAGTATGTAAAATTGACGTAAAGTTGAAATAATACAGTTACACAGCGGCCGCTGTGGTGTAGTGGTTAGCAGTGTGCGCTACCATTTAGCAGGGCCTGTATTCAAGCCCGGTTCAACCCAACATCAAAAAATAAAAACAAAAAACTTTTTTTTTTAAATAGCGGTCGCTTTTCGGCAAGCAATGGCAAACCTCCAAATGTATTTCGGTCATGAAAAACAGCTTCTCCTAAATATGCAATCTCCTTTCGCGTCTTCGTAAAACCCCCCTCCTCCCCTTTGTGTGACAACCAGGGTTCGGATTTGCCTCATTTTAGCCCTTCGCTTGCTCGTTAGTTTGCTCTGAGCTTGCGCAACTCACGAGCAACAAGCGAGGCTGTTTGCAAATGAGCACTCGTTAAGTACGAGTGCACGCGCTAAGCAGCCAGCGAGCGAGTAAGCGAACGAGGGCAGCGCAAGAGTAGAGCGGCAAGCAAACGAGGGCCTCATTAGCTCTGCCCTCGCGAGCAGTGTTGCCAACTTTTCAGTTTCAAAAAGCACCAAATCTTGGAAAAAAGCGTTTTACCGCACTAAAAGCACTAAATTTTTTTTTAAATCAAAGGATACTCTTTTTCATACCAGTTTGTGGTAAACAAAAGTAAAAAAAAATATACAATATTTACATGTATAAATAAATACACATTCATGCTTGCCAAGTAATACCGAAGTACTGTACATTAAAACTGGTACATCTGGAGAAGGAACAATCGAATCGCAACAAACGAAATTGAATTTTAAAGGGGAAGAGTAATACTTAATGATACCCTAAGTAGAAATGAGGGAAAAAATTTCTTGTTTTATAATATAACCTCAAATATTGCGAAAAACCGTGTTTTTACACTTAGAGGTTAGGATATCTTAAAATTCTGACATGGTATAGAAATTCTGCAGCTAGATTGGTATTCAGCACCGAAGAATCTACAAAAACCGATGCACTCAGGTGGCAAAAAAAGTTAAAATTTTTCGAACTGTGTAATCAATCAATAATCAAGAAAATAAAAAAATAAATACTTAACTTATCTGCGTGCTAGCATTTTCAACGCGCATACAATTTACCAAGAACGCAAGAACGTGGGTTTGCAACTTCATCTTTTTATCAATCATGGTTTGCATTTTAGTGCATTTAAATTTTTAGATTCTTGTAAATTCAGAAAATTCGAGCCCCCACCCTAGACTTTAAAGTTTACCTTAAATGTGGGTCTACAATCTAAGACTAATACCAGATATTGTGAAAGGTTGGACTATACCTTAAAGATGACGGTTTTCTCATGGCCCACTGCACGAAGCTTATAATAATAATAATAATATCCCAACGGTTTTTACCCTCCATTCCCGCCCATCCGCACGAGGGGCGCAGTCCGCATGACGTACGGAACCAATNAGTACACATTTTCATGAGTCTATCTCTTCTTATTCTGGTACTTACAAATATCGGACCAAAGTTATAATACCATTTCATGCTCACAAAATATAAATTTAAACATTTCTTAACTTCTTCCCAGCGTATCTATTAAAATGTCATTTTCAAAAATTTCATGCATTGCTATGCCATGTCATTCCATCTCAAATATACTGTTACAGCATGTCATTGCTTCTTAGCTCAGCTGTTGTTTGCTGTTGTGTTTCTGCAGCATATTTTTAATACTGTTTACATACAGGACTAAGTATATTTTAGCTCACAGGTTATCTTTTAAGTACATAAGCCTCTACAGCGTATGTTAAGGCTTTACGTTACTCCCAAATAGATTAGGCTTCTAGGGTTAAGAAAGCTTTAGTTTGAAAGTGTGATATTAAATGCTTTTCACCATAAACGGCGCCAATTTTCAATGATTATTGCGTTTCAGATTAAGACTAATACCAGATATTGTGAAAGGATGGACTATACCTTAAAGATGACGGTTTTCTCATGGCCCACTGCACGAAGCTTACACTTTTACATGTAGCGAAGGAGCTTTCTTCAATTTTAATCGATTCCATAGACATTGATGTTGCGCCAAAAATTAAAAAATCGATGTATAGA